AAATAATAGCCTATATTTTTTGTATATAGGTAAACAAGTACGTGCTTATAAAATTATAATATGTTGTATATAAAGTATATAGGATAATTAGGATTCAATGTACACTACAAGTCAAACGTTTGGACACACCTACTCATTCAAGGGTTTTTCTTTATTTTATTTTTTTACAATTTTTCATTGTAGAATAATAGTGAAGACATCAAAACTATGAAATAACACATTTGGAATCATGTAGTAAACAGTGTGGAAAAATCACCCTGATTAACTCTTTAGTATTATCCCAGTTGACCTATTTGCTTATGGTCTTGCCTACGCCTAGCGAACAGTTTTTTAAATTATATGAGAAAAAAATATTGAACGGCAAGCCAGACAAAATTAAAAGAGCATATTTATATAATGAATATGAATTCGGAGGACAGAAATGATTAAATATTAAAGCATTAGACCTATCACTAAAAGCTTCAGTCATACAAAAGTTATACTTAAATCCGAACTGGTTCTCAAGCAAATTAGTAAGATTGTCTCACCCAATGTTCAAGAAAGGCCTTTTTCCCTTTATTCAGATTACAACCTCTCACTTTCAGTTATTTGAAAAGGAAGTAATCTCCCAAATGTCACTATTTCTAAAACAAGCCATAGAAAGTTGGTTGCAATTTCAATTTAATCCTCCAGAAACGACAGAACAAATAATGCAACAAATATTGTGGTTAAATTCAAATATACTAATTGACAAAAAAACTTTATTTTTTGACAGAATGTTTAAAAAAGGTATAATCTTCGTAAATGATATCATCGGTAGGACTGGTGGAGTTATGTCGCACATGCAGCTAACAAAAACATATGGAAATGTCTGCTCTACCCAAAATTACAACCAAATAATTGCAGCCTTACCGCAAAAGTGGAAGAGGAAAGTGGAAGGGGGAGAAAGTAAGGAACTTGTCTGTCGGCCTTGCATTAAAGAACATAATTGGTTAAGGAAAACTGTGATAAATAAAAAAGTATATCAGTTTCACTTAAGGACCAAAGGATTGACAGCCGTCCCATATAGATTGCAAAATAGTTGGGAAGAGATCTTTGACGTACAGATCCCATGGCATAGTGTTTATGAACTGACACGCAAAACGACACCGGCTTCAAAAAATTAGAATATTTCAATTTAAATTATTATATAAAATTATTGCTACCAATAGAATGTTATTTATATGGGGGATACAATCTTCCCAGCTCTGCAGATTTTGCTGTGAAGAGACAGAATCATTAGATCATTTGTTTTGGTTCTGTCCATTTGTAGCTTGTTTTTGGACACAGGTCCAGGAATGGCTAAAGGATTGCAATATTTACCTGGAACTAACCTTGCAGATAGCATTATTGGGTGATCTGAAAAGTCATAGTCAATCAATCAATAATATAATAATACTTTTAGCAATTTTTTTTATTTTTAATTCACAATCTGTAGAAACAATGAGAATAGAAAGGTTCAGAACTTTTGTAAAACATCACAGTACGGTTGAAATATATATGGCAAATAGAAATCCTATATGGATGGTGTTAAGAGATAGATGGGAGGTATTGAATAGAGTTGAAGGGTGGGACTAATAACAAATAACAACAAATAATAACAAAGATAGCTAATAATGTAAGCATACTGTGTCCATAATAAGTATATAGGTTGTATGTTGGGAGCTTTTGGGAAAGAGCACAGTTAGAAAGATATGGCATATAGAAGCAAACCGGATGGACATCATGAAAATGATCGGAGAGGTTGAGAGTAGAAGTAGTTCAGGAGCAAAAAAAAAAAAAAAAATATATATATATATTTATAATAGAATTATTGTAAAATTAACTCTGTCCATAAGGTGTAGATAGTAAGTATAGACCGGAAGTAGAGGCCTGGGCATTGTTGTTCACTAATTTACTCCAAGTAGGGAAAGGATGGTGGGGTTGAAAAGTAATAAAGGGGAGTATATATATAAAAAAATAAATAAAAAAAACATGGGGGATTGGAAGTGATGCAGACAATTACATTGATAGAAGATACAATCTATCTGCAATATTAAGCTGATCCATTCCCCCCCCCCCCCCCAAAAAAAAAAAAAATAATAATAAATATAAATAAATATAAATAATAATTAAAAATTAAATAATTTTAAAAAACAGTGTTAAAAAATTCACAATATATTGTATATTAGAGATTCTGCAAATAGCCACCCTTTGCCTTGATGACTGCTTTGCACACTCTTGGCATTCTCTCAACCAGCTTCATGAGGTAGTCACCTGGAATGCATTTCAATTAACAGGTGTGCCTTCTTAAAAGTTAATTTGTGGAATTTAATAATAATAATAATAAGAATAATAATAATAATAATATGCCATTTAGCAGACGCTTTTATCCAAAGCGACTTACAGTCATGCGTGCATACATTTTTGTGTATGGGTGGTCCCGGGTATCGAACCCACTACCTTGGCGTTACAAGCGCCGTGCTCTACCAGCTGAGCTACAGAGGACCACATAGATAATTTCTTTCCTTCTTAATGCGTTTGAGCCAATCAGTTTTGTTGTGACAAGGTAGGGGGGGTATACAGAAGATAGCCCTATTTGGCAAAAGAGCAAGTCCATATTATGGCAAGAACAGCTCAAATAAGCAAAGAGAAACGACAGTCCATCATTACTTTAAGACATGAAGGTCAGTCAATACGGAAAATGTCAAGAACTTTAAAATCAAATCAAATTTTATTTGTCACATACACGTGTTTACCAGATGTTATTGCGGGTGTAGCGAAATGCTTGTGCTTCTACCTCCGACAGTGCAGTAATATCTAACAAATAATATCTAACAATTTCACAACATATACCCAATACACACAAATCTAGTAAGGAATGGAATTTAAGAATATATACATATATGGACAAGCAATGACAGAGCGGCATGGACTAAGATACAGTAGAATATTATATAATAGAATGCAGTATATCCATATGAGATGAGTAGTGCAAGATATGTAAACATTATTAACGTGACTAGTGTTCCATTTCTTTAAGTGGCCAGTGATTTCAATAGGCAGCAGCAGTCTCTAATGTATTAGTGATGGCACTTTGAAAGTTTCTTCAAGTGCAATCGCAAAAACCATAAAGCGCTATGATGAAACTGGCTCTCATGAGGACCGCCACAGGAATGGAAGACCAAAGTTACCTCTGCTGCAGAGGATAAGTTCATTAGAGTTACCAGCCTCAGAAATTGCAGCCCAAATAAATGCTTCACAGAGTTCAAGTAACAGACACATCTCAACATCAACTGTTCAGAGGAGACTGCGTGAATCAGGCCTTCATGGTCGAATTGCTGCTAAGAAACCACTACTAAAGGTCACCAATAAGAAGAAGAGACCTGCTTGGACCAAGAATAGACCGGTGGAAATTTGTCCTTTGGTCTGGAGTCCAAATTGGAGATTTTTGGTTCCAACCGGCGTGTCTTTGTGAGACGTGGTGTGAGTGAATGGATGATCTCCGCATGTGTAGTTCCCACCGTAAAGCATGGAGGAGGAGGTGTTGGCCCCGTGTAGCTCAGTTGGTAGAGCATGGCGTTTGCAATGCCAGGGTTGTGGGTTCGATTCCCACGGGGGGCCAGTATGAAAAAATGTGTGCACTCACTAACTGTAAGTCGCTCTGGATAAGAGCATCTGCTAAATGACTAAAATGTAATGTAAATGTGTGAGGGTGCTTTGTTGGTGACACTGTCTGTGATATATTTAGAATTCAAGGCACACTTAACCAGCATGGCTACCATAGCATTCTGCAGCGATACGCCATCCCATCTGGTTTGGGCTTAGTGGGACTATCATTTGTTTTTCAACAGGACAATGACCCACCACACCTCCAGGCTGTGTAAGGGCTATTTTATCAAGAAGGAGAGTGATGGAGTGCTGCATCAGATGACCTGGCCTCCACAATCCCCCGACCTCAACCCAATTGAGATGGTTTGGAATGAGTCGGACGGCAGAGTGACGGAAAAGCTGCCAACAAGTGCTCAGCATATGTGGGAACTCCTTCAAGACTGTTGGAAAAGCATTCCAGGTGAAGCTGGTTGAGAGAATGCCAAGAGTGTGTGCAAAGCAGTCATCAAGGCAAAGGGTGGCTATTTTAAGAAACTCAAATATAAAATATATCTTGAAAACACTTTTTTGGTTACTACATGATGTGTTATTTCATAGTTTTGATGTCTTCACTATTATACAATGTAGAAAATAGTAAAAATAAAGAAAAACCCTTGAATGAGTAGGTGTGTCCAAACTTTTGACTGGTACTGTATAATATTGTAACCTAACACTTGTAATACCGCTAAATAGGCTAAGCTCTACTATCGAAGCACAAACACTGACATTTAGCTAAGGCCTAAATAATGTCTGGGCTATTTAATTAATGCACTATTTGTAAGTCGCTTTGGATAACAGCTTCCGCTAATGACTGGAATATACATGTAATAGCCCAGACATTATTTAAACTGATATCAAATATTCAGGGAAGGCATATGGTATAGCCTCTATATTTTGGGGTTTTTGGACAAGCTACCTCTATACATAAATTATTTCAGTTACTTCTTAATTTTAGTAGCCTAGAATGTAGTCTAGGCTACATTACAGTAGCCTATTGTTACGTCCCAAATGGTACCCTATTCCCTATATAGTGCCCTGGTCCAATGTAGTGCAGTAGATAGGGAATAGGGTGCCATTGGGACGTACCAACGGTAGCTTACCAGAGTTGTAACATATCAGTGACCTTCTCTGTTGATTTTCCTTTCCTTGCTGTCTCTTCTCTTCTGTCTCTTTCAGGCAGACAGTCTTTGAAGTGCTACTGCTATTGTGTCTGAGCGATGTCTCCATTTGTCCCCCTCTGAAGTCACAGGACCCCCTGTGTGGTGCCTTCCTAACTATTTACAAGGTGTGTCATTCACCCAATGTTTATCTTATAAATCCTTTAAAAGATCTAACATTAACTTTAAATGCTGCTACTTTCTGCATGCCTGGGTCACACCCATAAAATGGATGACCTCTGATTCCAACTAATAGGCCTAAGCTAAATATCAGTGTTTGTGCTTCGACAGGCTACTACAGTAGAGCTTAGCCTACTTACTGGTATTACAAGTGCTAGGTTACAATATTATATATTGACATCCTAATTATCCTATATAATTTGTATACAACATATACTTTAATAAGCATGTACCTACACTATATATACAAAAGTGTGTGGTCACCCCTTCAAATTAGTGGATTCGGCTATTTCAGTCACATCCGTTGCTGACAGGTGTATAAAATCGAGCACACAGCCATGTAATCTCCATAGACAAATATTGGCAGTAGAATGGCCCATACGGAAGAGCTCAGTGACGTTCAATGTGGCACCGTCATAGGATGCCACCTTTCCAACAAGTCAGTTCGTCAAATTTCTGCCCTGCTAGAGCTGCCCCGGTCAACTGTAAGTGCTGTTATTGTGAAGTGGAAACTTCTAGGAGCAACAACGGCTCAGCCGTGAATTGGTAGGCCACACAAGCTCACAGAACGGGACCGGCGAGTGCTGAAGCGTGTAAAAACTGTCTGTCCTCGGTTGCAACACTCACTACCAAGTTTCAAACTGCCTCTGGAAGCAACGTCAGCACAAGAACTGTTCGTCGGGAGCTTCATGAAATGGGTTTCTATGGCCGAGCAGCCGCACACAAGCCTAAGATCACCATGCGCAATGCCAAACGTCGGCTGGAGTGGTGTAAATGCCTTTTATGCTCACGTCGAGGCAAGCAACACTGAAGCATGCATGAAAGCACCAGCTGTTCCGGACGACTGTGTGATCCCGCTCGCCGTAGCCGATGTGAGCAAGACCTTTAAACAGGTCAACATTCACAAGGCCACAGGGCCAGACGGATTACCAGGACGTGTTCTCAGAGCATGCGCTTAACACTTTTTTTTATTTTCTTAATAACTGCATTGTTGGTTAAGGGCTTGTAAGTACGTATTTTACTCTAAGGTCTACACCTGTTGTATTCAGCGCACGTGGCAAATAACATTTGATTTGATGTGTCTTCACTGACATTTTTAACCTCTCCCTGTAATACCTACATGTTTCAAGCATAACACCATAGTCCCTGTGCCCAAGACCCTAGACCCACTCCAATTCGCATACCGCCCCAACAGATCCACAGATAACGCAATCACAATCGCACCCCACACTGCCCTTTCCCACCTGGACAAAAGGAACACCTACGTGAGAATGCTGTTCATTGACTACAGCTCAGCGTTCAACACCATAGTGCCCACAAAGCTCATCACTAAGCTAAGGACCCTGGGACTAAACACCTCCCTCTGCAACTGGATCCTGGACTTCCTGACGGGCCGCCCCCAGGTGGTAAGGGTAGGCAACAACACATCTGCCACGCTGATCTTCAACACAGGGGCCCCTCAGGGGTGAGTGCTTAGTCCCCTCCTGTACTCCCTGTTCACCCACGACTGCGTGGCCAAGCACGACTCCAACACCATCATTAAGTTTGCTGACGACACAACAGTGGTAGGCCTGATCACCGACAACGATGAAACAGCCTATAGGGAGGAGGTCAGAGACCTGGCAGTGTGGTGCCAGGACAACAACCTCTCCCTCAACGTGACCAAGACAAAGGAGCTGATCATGGACTACAGGAAAAGGAGGGCTGAACACGCTCCCATTCACATTGAAAGGGCTGTAGTGGAGCGGGTCGAGAGTTTCAAGTTCCAAACTTTTATGGTCCAAACACACCAAGACAATCGTGAAGAGGGCATGACAACACCTTTTCCCTCTCAGGAAACTAAAAAGATTTGGCATGGGTCCCCAGCTGCACCATCAAGAGCATCCTGAACAGTTGCATCACCACCTGGTATGGTAACTGCTAGGCATCTGACCGTAAGGCTCTACAGAGGGTAGTGCGTACGGCCCAGTACATCACTGGGGCCAAGCTTCCTGCCATACAGGACCTATATACTAGGCTTTGTCAGAGGAAGGCCCAAAAAATTGTCAAAGACTCCAGTCACCCAAGTCATAGACTGTTCTCTCTGCTACCGCACGGCAAGCGGTACCGGAGCGCCAAGTCTAGGTCCAAAAGGCTCCTTAATAGCTTCTACCCCCAAGCCATAAGACTGCTGAACAATTAATCAAATGGCCACCCAGACTATTTACATTGACCAACCCCCCTTTGTTTTTACACTGCTGCTACTCGCTGTTTATTATCTATGCATAGTCACTTTACCCCTACCTACATGTACAAATTACCTCGACTAACCTGTACCCCCGCACATTGACTCGGTACCGTTACCCCCTGTATATAGCCTCGTTCTTGTTATTTTATTGTGTAACTTTAATTATTTTTTAACTTCAGTTTATTTAGTAAATATTTTCTTAACTCTATTTCTTGAACTGCATTGTTGGTTAAGGGCTTGTAAGTAAGCATTTTACGGTGAGGTCTACACCTGTTGTATTCGGCGCATGTGACAAATACAATTTGATTTGATTTGATTTGTAAAGCTCGCCACCATTGGTCTCTGGAGCAGTGGAAACGTGTTCTCTGGAGTGATGAATCACGCATCACCATCTGGCAGTCCCACGCACGAATCTGGGTTTGGAGGATGCCAGGAGAACGCTACCTGCCCCAATGCATAGTGCCAACTGTAAAGTTTGGTGGAGGAGGAATAATGGTCTGGGGCTGTTTTTCATGGTTTGGGCTAGGCCCCTTAGTTCCAGTGAAGGGAAATCTTAACGCTACAGCATACAATGACATTCTAGACAATTCTGTGCTTCTAACTTTGAGTCAACAGTTTGGGGAAGACCCTTTCCTGTTTCAGCATGACAATGCCGCCGTGCACAAAGTGAGGTCCATACAGAAATGGTTTGTCGAGATCGGTGTGGAAAAACTTGACTGGCCTGCACAGAGCCCTGACCTCAACCCCATCGAACACCTTTGCAATGAATTGGAAAGCCGACTGCGAGCCAGGTCTAATCGCCCAACATCAGTCCCCGACCTCACTAATGCTCGTTGCTGAATGGAAGCAAGTCCCCGCAGCAATGTTCCAACATCTAGTGGAAAGCCTTCCCAGAAGTGTGGAGGCTGTTATAGCAGCAAAGGGGGGACCAACTCCATATTAATGCCCGTGATTTTTTAATTAGATGTTCGACGAGCAGGTATCCACATACCATGCCTTCGGAAAGTATTCAGACCACTTGACTTTTCCACATTTTGTTACTTTACAGCCTTATTCTAAAATTGATTAAAAAAAAAAAAAATCATCAGCAATCTACACAAAATACCCCATAATGACTAAGTGAAAACAGGTTTTTAGAAATGTTAGCACATTTATAAAAAATAAAAAACAGAAATATCTTATTTACATAAGTATTCAGACCCTTTGCTATGAGACTCGAAATTGAGCTCAGGTGCATCCTGTTTCCATTGATCATCCTTGAGATTTCTACAACTTGATTGGAGTCCACCTGTGGTAAATTCAATTGATTGGACATGATTTGGAAAGGCACACACCTGTCTATATAAGGTCCCACAGTTGACAGTACATGTCAGAGCAAAAACCAAGCCATGAGGCACAGATCTGGGGAAGGGTACCAATCGCTTTTTGCAGCATAGAAGATCCCCAAGAACACAGTGGCCTCCATCATTCTTAAATGGAAGAAGTTTGGAACCACCAAGACTCTTCCTAGAGCTGGCCGCCCGGCCAAACTGAGCAATCGGGGGAGAAGGGCCTTGGTCAGGGAGGTGAACCCGATGGTCACTCTGACAGAGCTCTAGAGTTCCTCTGTGGAGATGGGAGAACATTCCAGAAGGAAAATCAGACTCTCACACTGCAAGAGGAACGTGCCAACAAAGAGGAACGTGCCAACAAAGATTGAAGCGTGACTCAACTGTAGGGAATGTAACAAAGAAACTGCTAGGTACGACAAACACACGACATCAAGTGTTATTTCAAGAAAGGCCAGTACAACATCTGTGAGCTGCTTGTGCTGACAGTTCGAGTTGCCAGATTTCCATGTATTTATTCTGGTGGTTCTCTTCATCTGCTCTACTGGTTAGTTCAGAGCAGATACCATCCACCTGTGTGATTCTCTCTTCATCTGCTCTACTGGTTAGTTCAGAGCAGATACCATCCACCTGTGTGATTCTCTCTTCATCTGCTCTACTGGTTAGTTCAGAGCAGATACCATCCACCTGTGTGATTCTCTCTTCATCTGCTCTACTGGTTAGTTCAGAGCAGATACCATCCACCTGTATGATTCTCTCTTCATCTGCTCTAAAGGGAGGGAGGGAAAGAGAGGGAGGGAGGGAAAGAGAGAAGAGCAGGGGAGGGAGGGAGGAGAGAAGAAGACAGGAGGGAGGGAGGGAGGGAGAAGGAGACAGGGAGGAGGGAGGGAGGGGGAGGAGGGAGGGAGGGAGGAGGGAGGGAGGGAGGGAGGGGAGGGAGGGCGGAGGGAGGGAGGGAGGAGGGAGGGAGAAAGAGAAGAAGAAGGGAGGGAGGGAGGGAGAGAGAGAATAGAAGACAGGGAGGGAGGGACGGGGGGGAGAGGGACAGGGAGGGAGGGAGGGAGGGAGGAGGGAGGGAGGAGGGAGGGAGGGAGGGGAGAGACAGGTAGGGAGGGAAGGAGGAGCGAAGAAGACAGGGAGGGAGGGAGGGAGGAGGAGAGAGCAGACATTGGAGGGGAGGGAAGGGAGGGAGGAGAGAAGAGACAGGGAGGGAGGGAAGGAGAGAAGAAGACAAGGAGGGAAGCAGTGAGAGGAGAGACATAGGGAGGGAGGGAGGAGAGAAGAAGACAGGGAGGGAGGGAGGGAAGGAGGAGAGAAGAAGACCGGGAGGGAGGGAGGCAGCGAGAGGAGAGACAGGGAGGGAGGGAGGAGAGAAGAAGACAGGGAGGGAGGGAGGGAAGGAGGAGAGAAGAAGACCGGGAGGGAGGGAGGCAGCGAGAGGAGAGACAGGGAGGGAGGGAGGAGAGAAGAAGACAGGGAGGGAGGCAGCGAGGAGAGAGACAGGGAGGGAGGGTCTCTCCTCAGGAGAGGACAGGGCTGTGTCTCAAATGGCACTATGGGCCCTGGTCAAAAGTAATGCTCTACATAGGGAATAGGGTGCCATTTGGGATACAGCCTCCTTCTTCCACCACCATCGGTCTCCACTCAGGACTAGAGAGGTCCGGATAGGACAGGAGGAGCTATCTACCTGCTAGAACCGAGAGCAAGGTGTCAAGCCCTCCTCCCATTGTCAACAGGACCACATCAGAGGGAGAATAGCCCCTGTATCCCTCCTCCCATTGTCAACAGGACCACATCAGAGGGAGAATAGCCTCTGTATCCCTCCTCCCCTCCATCCCTCCCTTCCTTCCTGACTTCCCACCTCTCATTCTCTTTCTCTGCTTGTATTGACTGGAAGGGCTACAGGCCTGTTTTATCCCCCCCTTCCTCTATGGCCTGCTGAATTGTCCCCTTGAGGTGTTTATAGGCTAGCTGACTGGATGTTGGATCAAAGGATCCTCTTTAAATAAATGTGGCCTATCTGCTGTGACCTTTTCAAAGAATAATAAATAATAATAATCTACAAGAGAAAAACAGTTGAGATAAGTGGTAGAATAAGCAGAGTCTCTCCCTCTCTGAGTGAAGGAATACATGAATGATCCTCTGGGCTCCCGAGTGGCGCAGTGGTCTAAGGCACTGCATCTCAGTGCTTGAGGCGTCACTACAGACCCCCCTGGTTCGATTCCAGGCTGTATCACAACCGGCCGTGATTGGGAGTCCCATAGGGCGGCGCACAATTGGCCCAGCATGTTTGGCCGGTGTAGGCCGTCATTGTAAATAAGAATTTGTTCTTAACTGACTTGCCTAGTTAAATAAAGGTAAAATAAAAAAATTAAATTAAATTGACAACAAGATGGGCTGAGTTGAAGAAGTAACATCAGATCGGCACGGCCTTGCTTGCTGTTTGGGGTTTTAGGCTGGGTTTGTATAGCACTTTGTGACATCTGCTGATGTAAAAAAGGGCTTTATAAATACATTTGATTGATTGCTTTTGAGGATCATCACACTGGAGTAAATGATAATCTCACAGATAATCATCTTGAGGACGTGAGCTGTGTGCTTATGGAAAAGTGACACATGACAGACAAGCGGTTTGATTAGAAAAGCTTGTTATTTCAACATCTTAGAAGAACATTAGAGACACCAAAACAGTAGTTCAGAAGCAGTAGAACAGGTCCAAACCAAGACAGGCCCGCCCTCACATCACCTCACATCAGGCTTCAGTTGGGATTGTGCTGGGTGCAAATGAGCACACTTTTTTAGTCTCTCTCAGATATGTACAGTATTTATATGGGATGCATCCCAAATGCCACCCTATTCCCTATGTAGTGCACTACTTTTGACCAGGGCCCAAAGTAGTGCACTATGTAGGGAATAGGGTGCCATTAGGGACGTAAACATGGAGTAGGGTGAAGTTGCCCCAGACGCTGATCTTAAGGCGTCCGCATGCTTCCCAGCCAAAACAGTTTGGCAGTGTTATATATACTGTATTATTTGTGATGTTTTTTGTTTGTTTTGGACTTCGGTGAGGTTCTTTTTCGGCTTTTCAGGCAAACAAAACATTTTCTGGAGTCAAGCCGAAGTTTGGAGCCAAAATCTACACCCCTTCGTCTGTGATTGGTCAGCAGTAGGGATTCTTCAATAGAGTACCACAGTATGAGTCATAATACCCATAAAACCTAGCGGTCAAACAGGAAAATGGTTTCCAATTGTTTTTCCACCATTCATTTTTCCCATTGTTTTTTTTTTTAAACACTTAAAATAAGGGCTGTGTTTTGTGTAGGTTTACCCTGGCATGACGTTTTGATAACCGTGCAAATCTCTCTAGGACAAGTTTACTTTTATCAAGGTGATTTACCCCCCCAAAAAATTATGCTAATTAGGCTATCATAAAGAACTACAAATGCCATGATGATTTTTACATTTACATTTTAGTCATTTAGCAGACGCTCTTATCCAGAGCGACTTACAGTTAGTGAGTGCATACATTATTATTATATATATTTTTTCATACTGGCCCCCCCGTGGGAAACTGCCGAATCGAGGCAAAGGTAAGAATCTCTGGATTAACTATCTAATGTTAGCTAAATGTACTAATGAATAAAATGGAATATTCAGTGAACGGTCTTGCGCAAGTTTTAAATTGACACAATACCTGTTAGCAAAGGTGTCAGCTAGAGATGACGTGCAGGAGCTTGCAGGGATTTGTAGTCTTGCATGATGTCTACTTTGATGCAAATTAGCATTTTAGAATCTGAGAGTAAATAGTCACCTTGTCCGAGAGAGATTTACATGGTTATCAAAACATCCCGCCAGGGTTAGCCTACACGAAACACAGCCCTTATTTTAAGTGTTTCTAAAATCCCCTATGTCATGGTGGAAAAACGATTGGAACCATTTCCCTGTTTGACCGCTAGGTTTTCTGGGTATTATGACACCTCCACTGTGAGGCTCTATAAAGTCTTTGTTGTCATTCAATGTGAAACGACTCATTTTCATGCACATGTTTTCATTGAGAAATACTGCACCAAACATCTTAGACGTTAAATTGCAGTGGTGTAAAGTACTTTAGTAAAAACTATTTCAAGTACTGCTTAAGTCGTTTTGGGGGGTATTTGTACTTTACTTTACTATTTATATTTTTGACTACTTTTACTTCACTACATTCCTAAAAGAAAATAATATACTTTTTATTACATACATTTTCCCTGACACCAAAAACTACTCGTTACATTTTGAATGCTTAGCAGGACAGGAAAATGGTCATCCCAGGTCCTCCTACTGCCTCTGATCTGGCGAACTAACTAAACAGAAATGCGTCGTTTGTAAATGATGTCTGAGTGTTGGAGTGTGCCCCTGGCTATCCGTTAATTAAAACGACAAGAAAATTGTGCCGTCTGGTTTGCTTAATATAAGGAATTTGAAATGATTTTGACTTTTACTTTTGATACTTAAGTATATTTTAGCAATTACATTTACTTTTGATTCTTAAGTATATTTCAAACCAAATATTTTTAGACTTTTACTCAAGTAGGGTTTTACTGGGTGACATTCACTTTTACTTGAGTCATTTTCTATTATGATATCTTTACTTTTACTCAAGTATGACAATTGAGTACTTTTTCCACCACTGTAAAATTGCATGACTAACTAAGATCTCCTCGGCAAAAACGTAAAAATTAATGACAGATTTCTTGAGTTATCTTAGATTAATTCAGACTATTTTGAGGAAGTGTATACGGACTACGGCATCTCAAAATGGACAAACAGTACTATTGCTGCATTATTCTGGTTTTTCAAGCGAAGGTCTTTTAAGGGCATATGCGAGGATGCTCGTTCGGTTCGGCTAGCCGACTTCGGCCAGGCCTTGCTGAAGCCTTTAGATACATTTTTAATTTTCCCCATTAACAGTTAAGGTTAGGATCTGGGGGGGAATCTGATCCTAGATCAGTGTCTAGGGGCAACTTCTACCTGGAGCTCTTTATACAGCAATAGTGTCCTGGGGATCAGGGACTGTGGTATGGGACACAGACCTGGGTTCAAATACTACTTTTAATCTTTCAAATATTTTGAGCGTTTGCTCTAGCCTGCCAAGAATGTCAGACGGACAGGGTTTTTCCCGTTTTGGGACAATTTTATTGGTCCATTAAACCAGGCATGCTCAATGAAGCTCAGATAACGTATTTTTGTTTTATTATTCTGCATAGTATTTGAACGCAGGTCTGATGAGAGATCAGTCAGGAGAAGAAAAGCGAATGAACTGATTATGAAAACAAGTCAGAATCCCATAGGTCCTATTCCCTCTATAGTGCCCTACTTTGGACCAGGGCCAATAGAGACACGATTGACAATAGACAAAGCAAACAGACACTTCTAATTTCTGCAGGCATTTCAGGCATACCTTTAAAAAAAAAGAAAAAAAGAAACTCTATCAACATCACAGCCAGATCATTAAAAGAAACATGTAATAACACATTACCATATATTGTGACCCTTGACCTTTTAAACACATAGTATAGCAACACGCTATAAAACAACCATCAAAAGTTACAGCAACATTAACCTCATTCCCAGGCTCAAGTGCTACTGAGAGAGCCAGCTGGTGGAAAAGATTACAGCAATATTCTCTATTTTTTCTCACTCTCTGTTAGTAGAGACTAGAGACGTTAGCCGGTACGTGCCATTTTGTTGCCATTGCATTTTCCCAACGGTTCCCTTTGTCTTTGTTTGTGAGTCCCAAATGCCACCATATATGGGCCCTGGTCAAAAGTAGTGCACTACACATGGTGCCATTTGGGACGCCCCCTTTGCGTCTCTCCCATCCCATCATGACAGTGCATAACAATAGACTCTCTCCAACCCAGCCGCAACAAGGGAGGGGGGGTTTTCACAGGAAGTACATTCCTCTACTGGCTCGTTGGGAGCCCAATCTGTCTTTCCACCCATGTGTTCTACAGACACCACGACAGCGTTTCAAATCGTACCCTATTCCCTATATACTGCAGTACTTTTGACCAGAGCCCTGATCAAAAGTAGTGCACTATATAGGGAAAAGGGTACCATTTGGGACACATACCATCTCTGGTTCAAAAGGGTTCAGTGCTTCAGAAAATAATAAGATAATAGCAGTGTAAAAGGTTAAATAGCCTAGCCCTGACAGATGAGGACACTTTAACAGCTTTCTGTCTAACAGTGTCCTAACAATATGAGCTGTTAGTTACAAGTGATTTGGTGTGGAGGACGTAGGTTCCTTATGAAGACTGGAGCAACTGTAAAACACCAGCCTACTACAGAAGTAAAAGTGATGGACAGAGCAGGAGGAGGAGGGGAGGGGAACGCAGGGGAAAAGCTGGCAGGCAGATGGAGAGACTGAAAAATAAGATGGGATCATCTCATCTTGTGCAAATCAGTGTTCGAGGGAAAAGATGAAAGGCACTTTTCAGTTACAACAGTTTTCAACAATAAGAACAGGTTATAATAAGGTATTCTCTGCTGGAAAATAGTATCTGTGTAAGGAGTGAAGATGAAGGTCACTGACAAACTAAATGAGTCATCAATAAATGCAACACAGGCAATACATCAGGAACAAACAAAACCAATCAAACCAATAATCTAAACCAGTAATATGATCTGCATTCAGATGCTATTTACCGTAATAAAACAGTGATCTCTTCTCTCCTATTTAAGGCAACAGTGATTCATTTGTTGTGAACGTCACCATCCATCATGTGACAATATGACAATACAAACCACACATACTGTCCGGACCAGTGTTTCCCAACCCTGGTCCTCCAGTAGTACACATTTTCGTTGTAGCCCTGGACAAACACACCTCATTCAGCTCATTGAGGACTTTATGATTAGTTGACTAGTTGAATTAGCTGTGCTTTTCCAGGGTTACAATATAAATGTGTACTGTTGGGGGTACTGGAGGACCAGGGTTGGGAAACACTGGTCTGGACCGTTCCAAACAGTTAATGCTTTTCTATTTCCAGCACACATGTAGAGAGAGAAATCCAGCCCTCTAGTGGGATCCACTGGTACTTCACCATGGGAATCTCTTGCAACGTTTATAGTTTTCAAGTTTCTAGGACTTTTAGACAAGGTGCCATTGCCACACAACTGGCCTTGGAACAACCCAGTAAAAGGGGTCGGGAACCACATAAAAACAAGGTCTCCTCTCTTGTCTACAAAACACAAGTAATCTTTGGAATGATGCCTTTTTAAAAACAGAGTATAAAACCACCTAAATAAAGAAATACTTTATTTTCCCTTGTGTAGAAAAAAAAAAGCCTTGGTTTAATCGTGTGTCTCTCGGAGAGCTCAGTGGCTTGAACCCATAGAGGTTTGGACCCATAGAGGTTGGGGAGGCTAGAGATTACAGTCCATTTAACGGTCAGTCAGTCCAGTAAAGTTCTGGGTGGGCTTTCTGACACCAACATCCAGGGTCTCTACTCCCTTCATTCTGATCCAGCAAATCCACTGCTGGCGGATAAAAAAAGGTATGTGTCCCAAAAAAAGGTCTGTGTCCCAAGTGGCAACCTATTCCCTATATAGTGCACTACTTGTGACCAGAACCCAATAGGCACTATATAGGAATTGGGTGCCAGCCATCAACCAAGCCTCGGGAGAACCTAATATACTACGATAATATTGCCTTCTGTATGTTTTCATGGCGACCCTCACTTCCCAGAAGTATCAGTGGGGTTGTATTCTGTCTCTCCTGAGGAAACCTGAGAGATCCTGCGTGTTGAGCCCCACAGCCGACGGGAGAACTGACCCGAGCGCACCTAGGGAGAGAGAGAGAGAGAGAGAGAGAGAGAGAGAGAGAGAGAGAGCCTAGGAAGAGGAGAGAGAGAGGCAGGGGGGAGCGAGGAGGAGGGGAGGATGGAGGGAGGAGGAGAGCGAGAGGAGAGAGAGAGAGAGAGCAACAGGTCTCTGAGCACTGACTGAGCATGTGTTGAAACTAGGGGAATGTAACTATCAGGGATGTTATTGAACTAAAGATCCTTGTTATCATCTAACATGAAATACATATGGGATAGAAAATTAGGTGCAATTGCTTTATGGAATAGGGTGCCATTTGGGATGCAGACGTTACCTCCTCTGGTTTCCCGGCCCCCACCACGATGAGCTTTCCATCCTCCAGGCCCACCAGGATGTGGCTGCTCTCTTTGGTCACCGACACACTCCTCACAGCCACCTTCAACGCCAGGGGAGACACAGCCAGCACCAGACTGACACACACACACACACACACACACACAATGTTATGGAAGGTGGTGTAGTCTAATTGAAGTGTATTACTGATGATGGCCATACACACTGTGTTGCATGTCTCACCTGTGCAGGTGTCTGATGTGTAGGTTTCCCTGCTGGGTTCCCAGGATGATGTAATCAGGGACCAGGTAGAGAGCTGTCACCTGTTCCTCCAGGCTGACAGACGACAGCAGACAGCCGTTCACAGAGTAAACATGGAGGGAGTACTTCTCCTTTAATACAGGACAGAGAGAGAGAGAGATAGAGAGAGAGAGAGAGAAGAGAGACACACAAAGAGAGGGAAGAGGGGATTATTGAGAGAGATCCAATTAAATTAAATATAAATATGGTTGAGTGTGTGTGTGTGCTTGTGTGCATGTAAATGAATGCGTGTGTGTGTTCCGTACCTTCCCAGCAGTGAGTCCCTCCAGGGCGGTCTGTGCCACGATGTGCCCCTCCATGCCCACCTGCAGCTCAGTGACCCGGGCAGGCAGGCAGCTCTCACCGGGTGGACGCAGGGTACGAAGGAACTGGCCACGACGTACACTGTGGATTATCAGAGTACCATCCTGAGAGAGAGAGAGGGGAGAGAGGGGGGGGGAGAGAGAGAGAGAGAGGGGGAAAGAGAGAGAGGGGGGCAAGAGAGAGAGAGGGGGAGGGGAGAGAGAGTAAGAAACCAAATGTGACAGTCTACACCCTGGATCATTTCACTCAAACTGGATTGAAGGGCTCTCTCAAATCACAGATTCCCCTTTAACACACCATCTCTGACCCCTGACCTCTCACCTTTGACCCAGAGACAGCCATGTCCAGCTCGGTGCTGATTGCCACACAGGTGACCTCCTGGTCGTGTCCACAGAGGACCTGCACTGGACGAGGAGAGAGACCACTGGAGAACCCACCCTGGGAGAGGGGAGAGGAGGGGATGGAGAGAGAGAGATTAAACCTTTTTGACTCTCCATCAGAAGACCATTTTATAGAGAAAGTACAAATATGAAGATAATTACAAGATCATTTCTATGCTGCTTATTCTACTAGTGCTACTGATTTTCTAAGACTCGCGATTGTGGAAGAGGAAAGTCTTACCTGCTGTAGAACCTGCCACACGATACAGGATGTATCCCTGGAACCAGAGATGAGGTAGATACCACAGAGGTCCAGAGCCAGACAAGTCACCACATCTACAGGACAGACAGGACACTCATTACTATCAGACATGTTAGCAGGTCTACAGGACAGACAGGACACTCTCATCACTATCAGACATGTTACCAGGTCTACAGGACAGACAGGACACTCTCATCACTATCAGACATGTTACCAGGTCTACAGGACAGACAGGACACTCATCACTATCAGACATGTTACCAGGTCTACGGGACAGACAGGACACTCTCATCACTATCAGACATGTTACCAGGTCTACGGGACAGACAGGACACTCTCATCACTATCAGACATGTTAGCAGGTCTACAGGACAGACAGGAAAGATAGGACAGACAGAACAGACAGTAACTCTCATCTCTATCTGGCCAACAGAATACAATAGAACTATGTCATCTCTTTGGGGGCTGATCTAGAATCAGATCCCCCCCTGTAACCATACTGATTTTGATCTAAAAGGTCAAACTGATCCTAAATCAGCACTCTTACTCTGACAAACGTGATACATGGTCTCCCCCGTCCTCCCTCCCTCCCTCCCCGTCCGTCCTCCCTCCCCATCCTCCCTCCCCCCTCCCTCCCCATCCTCCCTCCCCCCATCCTCCCGTCCTCCCTCCCCGTCCCCCATCCTCCCTAGCTCACCGATGTGTCGGCAGATCTTGCCCACCAGTTTGCCCTTTCCCAGATGGGTGACTCGGAGGCTGCAGTCCCAGTGTCCTCCACTGAACAGCAGACGGCCATCGTTAGACACCACCAACACCTGAGTACTGAGCTCTACCCCTGGGAATAAGAGACCACTCAGGAACCGCTGGGTTCTGCAGGAGGGAGGGAGGGATGGTAGGAAGAGAGGGAGAAAGGAAGAAATGTAAGAGGAGGGGGAGGAGAGAGTTAAGAGAGGAGAGAGTTAAGAGAGGAGGTGGGAGTTGAGTAAACCTAGTAATAATTTACAATAACGGGCCTTTAACTGAAGGAAGAGAGGTTGTTGAAACCAATATGTTTATATAGTTGTGCCATGTTAATATTAACAAATGGTGATTTGTCCTTTAACATTTTCTAGCAGAAAGATGTTGTTTACCAATGAAAAGTAACTCAAGTGTTTCCCATTCAGACTAATCCCAATAAGATACATGTTTATACGTCCACTGTAGTTCTAACGCTCCAGTCCCATAAAACACAAACAGACTTCTCCATCAATTCAAACTTCTGATTTGGAGTCACATTAATAAAACCAAGCAGCTGAGCTGGGGACCAGATGGGCTGGCGACACACTACACAGCCGGAGTCCCAAATGGCACACTGTTCCCTATTTAGCCCACTCCTTTTGACCAGAGCCCATAGGGTCCTGTAGGGCACTATATAGGGAATAGGGTGCCATTTGGGACGCTGTGTTGGGGTTCCTCCTTATCCTTCTCTCTGTGTTTAGAGTGGGATTTACATCTGTCATTTCTTGACAGGCATTCTGTAGGGCCATTAACTTACTTGGGATTGGCCACGGTGGGGTCCTTGGTGAAGGTAAAGTAGTTGGCGATGTTCTTATCGTAAGGCAGCCAGCTGTGGGTCCCAATCAGACCGTTAGAACTCACTGTCACCTACAGGGAAGGAAGGGAACAGAGGGGGAGGGGGGGGACAGTCAAAAGAAGCCCCATAATGCACTAGGGTTGAACAATTCTGGTAACTTTCCCCAAAATCCCCAGGTTTTCCAGAAGTCCTGGTAGCAGCATTCCCAGACTTACAGCTTATTTCCTCCTCATTCCAGGAATCTACCGACTGGGATTTCTGGTTAACCTTGGAAAGTTAGTGGAATTTTGCAACCCTATGCTGAACCTCTGTACCCCTTCAACCAAGCAGAAAGGTGAAATGCCTTTAGCACACCTTATTGTGTGTGAATGTGTTGTTTGATGTAGCTGTGTTGAGTGTATGAGAGGCTGGTGTCAGTGAGGTATCAGTGTGTCCCTTCTCTAGTGTGTCTCTGTGTGTCTGTGATTGTGTTCTCACCAGTACGTCAGAGCCCTGGATGATAAAGGAGCGGTTCTGGTTCCTGGGAACCACCGCCTGGACCAGAGGCCGCCCATCACACACCACCTAGGCACACACACACACACACACACACACACACACACACACACACACACACACACACACACACACACACACACACACACACACACACACACACACACACACACACACACACACACACACACACACACACACACACACACACACACACACAATCCAATTTTGAATACTGAAGTGGCTATTGTAATATTAAATGTAGGGGCAATGATATAGACTACTAGAGAAACTTTATGATTCTGATGAAATATAGGAGAAGGATTCCTCTCTACCTCCATAAAAGGGCGTAGTTTGTCGAGCTGTTCAAACAGGTTGGGGGGTAGAGTGTCCATGCGGGCCTGCCTCCTAGAGGCACTCTCTGATGACATACGAGGGGGGTGTGGCTCCTAACAAGAGGGAGAGAGAGACAGGGCACACTGAGTCAGTCACAATGTCCCACTGAGATACTAGCTACAGACAACTAAGACAGCTAGAAACCCAGAGAGCTAGCTACAGACAGCCAGAGAGCTAGCTACAGACAGCTACAGACAGCCAGAGAGCTAGCTACAGACAGCCAGAGAGCTAGCTACAGACAGCTACAGACAGCCAGAGAGCTAGCTACAGACAGCTACAGACAGCCAGAGAGCTAGCTACAAGACACCCAGAGAGCTAGCTACAGACAGCCAGAGAGCTAGCTACAGACAGCTACAGACAGCTAGCTACAAGACACCCAGAGACCTAGCTACAGACAGCCAGAGAGCTAGCTACAAGACACCCAGAGAGCTAGCTACAGACAGCCAGAGAGCTAGCTACAGACAGCTATAGACACCCAGAGAGCTAGCTACAGACACCCAGAGAGCTAGCTACAGACAGCTACAGTCAGCCAGAGAGCTAGCTACAGACAGCCAGAGAGCTAGCTACAGACAGCCAGAGAGCTAGCTACAGACACCCAGAGAGCTAGCTACAGACACCCATAGAGCTAGCTACAGACACCTACAGACAGCTACAGACACCCAGAGAGCTAGCTACAGACAGCCAGAGAGCTAGCTACAGACAGCCAGAGAGCTAGCTACAGACACCCAGAGAGCTAGCTACAGACAGCCAGAGAGCTAGCTACATACACCCAGAGAGCTAGCTACAGACACCCAGAGAGCTAGCTACAGACACCCAGAGAGCTAGCTACAGACAGCCAGAGACCTAGCTACATACAGCTACAGACACCCAGAGATCTAGCTACAGACAGCTACAGACACCCAGAGAGCTAGCTACAGACAGCTACAGACACCCAGAGAGCTAGCTACAGACACCCAGAGAGCTAGCTACAGACACCCAGAGAGCTAGCTACTGACAGCCAGAGAGCTAGCTACAGACAGTCAGAGCTAGCTACAGACACCCAGAGAGCTAGCTACAGACAGTCAGAGAGCTAGCTACAGACAGTCAGAGAGCTAGCTACAGACAGTCAGAGAGCTAGCTACAGACAGTCAGAGAGCTAGCTACAGACAGTCAGAGAGCTAGCTACAGACAGTCAGAGAGCTAGCTACAGACACACAGAGAGCTAGCTACAGACAGTCAGAGAGCTAGCTACATACAGTCAGAGAGCTAGCTACAGACACCCAGAGAGCTAGCTACAGACACCCAGAGAGCTAGCTACAGACACACAGTCAGGGAGCTACAGACAGTCAGATTCACAGACTGATAAACCGTGTCATTCAGTCAAACACACACACACACACACACACACACACACACACACACACACACACACACACACACACACACTGGCAGACAGCAGGAGCCATACATACTCTACTCTCCAGACTCAATACAACTATTCCCTCTGGCTTATGGAGGGAGACTATAAATTGAGGGAGTGTTTAACAAATCAAGCAGGACTGTAAATTCAATGTGACAGGGGTCAGACCTTGACATACACACACACACACACACACACCTTGAGTAGTTGACAGGGCGTCTGTCCAAAGTTACTGATGATGCCCTCCAGGGCCTTGCGCTCCGTCTCATTGGCTATGGCGTCCAGATCCACCGCACCTACACAAAATAACAGAACAGAATCAAATAGAACACAACACAACAGAACGGAATCGAACAGAACGTAACAGAACAGAACGTAACAGAATAGAACACAACAGAACGGAATAGAACAGAACAGAACAGAACATAACAGAACTCTATTGTGCAACTCTGATATGGAAATGTACCTGGTATACATCGTAGGGTCTGAGTGAGGATGGAGGGAAGCCTATTCCTCATATCACATTGGGAGATGTTGTGAGTCTCAAATTGTACCCTTTTCCCTATATATAGTGCAGTACTTTTGACTAGGACCCATAGGGCTTTGGTCAAAAGTAGTGAACTATCTAGGGAATAGAAGTGCCATTCTCCTTACCTTCATAGGTACAGTAGTAGAAGACATTGAGAGCCTCCACAGCCTTCTCCCCTCTCTGCTTGCAGCCAAAGATCAGGTCAATCCACTCATGGAGGTGAGAGGACACATGCTCACACTCCTACACAATATTGGGACAAATGCATTTGTAAAAGGAAATGTATTTGATTACTTGATTAAAATGTGTCCAATCAGAGAGTGCAGCATGGCTGTGGGGGTTGCACCAGTGTTTGCCAAAAAATTTTTTCCAGGCGGGAGGCCTCACCAGAGCCTTCCTGTGTTTCCTGATGAAGTCTTCTCTAGACAAGGCCCATTGTGGTAACAGAACATCAGTCACATTGTCCTGGGTCATCTGCAGACTGCCCAGGTCAAACCCTGCAGTAAACAGACACAGAGACAGTCAAACCTTCCTCAGCTACATAAACAGAGTATCCAACATTTGGTAGGATACGAGGCTGTATGAAAACACTATGATAGGCCATATTTATGTTGTGTTTATATATTGTGTAACAAATGCCTTGTGAATAGGAATTAACATAAATCGTTGCATTCCACTTAGGGTGCTTTCGTAAATTCACTCTGGAAATCTACTTAGATTTTAGAGCACTCTGGTTTGAGAGTGCCAGAGCAGAATAATTGATTAGTTAATTGATGAATCCGAGAGCAATACGCTCTGAATTTACGAACGGACAATCTGACAATGTTCTGAATTTTACGAATGCCCAGAGTGACACTCCAGAGTGAGTTCGCTAACACAGCCTTCCTCATGTGAAGGGAACACAGCCTTAGTCTTCCTCATGTGAAGGGAACACAGCCTTAGTCTTCCTCATGTGAAGGGAACACAGCCTTAGTCTTCCTCATGTGAAGGGAACACAGCCTTAGTCTTCCTCACGTGAAGGGAACACAGGCTTAGTCTTCCTCACGTGAAGGGAGTGCTACTCACCGTTGATGTTCTGCAGGAACTCTGGAAAGTAGAAGAACTCAGGGATGAGCTCTTTGACGTCAGCGGGGCTCTCCATGCGAGCCTGCCAGGCTGCTGCTACAGAGTGGAACTGACGGTCTGCACAGTCAAACCTGCAACACACACAGCCAGGAAGCACACTGTTCAAATGGAACAGTCACACACACACCTTGAAGTGTTAGATTAATACTTTACATCCTCATACAACTTCAAACACTACCACACTCCCTTCCACAGCTCCATGCACCCTGATACACACTCGTGTCTTCACACAACCCAATATACACCCACATCCACACACGCCCTGCAAGATGTGGAGGGTGGTGAAGGGGTTACTGTACCCTGCCCCCCTGCAAGATGTGGAGGGTGGTGAAGGGGTTACTGTACCTGCCCCCCTGCAAGATGTGGAGGGTGGTGAAGGGGTTACTGTACCTGCCCCCCTGCAAGATGTGGAGGGTGGTGAAGGGGTTACTGTACCCTGCCCCCCTGCAAGATGTGGAGGGTGGTGATGGGGTTACTGTACCTGCCGCCCTGCAAGATGTGGAGGGTGGTGAAGGGGTTACTGTACCTGCCACTCTGCAAGATGTGGAGGGTGGTGAAGGGGTTACTGTACCCTGCCCCCCTGCAAGATGTGGAGGGTGGTGAAGGGGTTACTGTACCCTGCCCCCCTGCAAGATGTGGAGGGTGGTGATGGGGTTACTGTACCTGCCGCTCTGCAGCTGGATGTGGAGGGTGGTGAAGGGTTCCATACGGATCATGTAGTGCATGACTCCTGCTGCGTTAGAGTAGTGTGTTCCATAGTGGAACTTATCTATCGTGCCGGTTGAGTCCTCAAAGCTCTCATACCTGATCAGACAAGATGATGAAAATGGTGCCATGCATTAATAGGAATAACAATGACTTAAACATTAAACACATGCAGTAACAAAGTGTATTTGTGGAGCATGTATACTGTGTATAATACTCGTCATAATAAACCAGACTAAATGCAGATAACACAACAGATATAATAGGGTAAGCTTGTGTTTTAAGAGAACTGGAGATGATCTAGTCTGCGTCCCAAATGGCACCCTATTCCCTACATAGTGCACTACTTTTGACCAGAGCCACATATTCCCTGGTTCAAAATGGTGACATACATAGGGAATAGGGTGGCATCTGGGACAGAGCTCTGGGTTTCTCTGTGTGAGGTTACTGCAGTACTCACTTCTCCCTGACGTTCTGTGCGTGGCGGGAGTTGACTACTCCGACGGGTTTAGACAGGTCTCTGAACACGGCTGGGTCCTCCAGGTCCAGAACTGGAGAGGTGTAGTCACTCAGCACCCATGGGAACTGGACACAACCCAACACAGGGACACCATTAGATTACACTGGACTACAGCATAAATGCTGTTAGTTCGTTTGTTCCTGCATTCATTCATAGATTCAATGATTCATTCGTTCATTTATTCTTCTGTCCATTCATTCGTTCATTCATTTATTCCTTCGTTCATTCATTCATTCGTTAATTCATTCGTTCCTCCATCCATCCATCCATTCCTCCCTCACTCACTGGATTACTGGACAGGGACTTACCACAGGGTACTGAGACAGGTCGTTGTAGGTACGTCCAGAGATGGTGTTCAGTTGCATCAGATATTCAAAGTTGGAAATCTCTCTGCATACCCATCTCTAATGACACACACAAACAGCAGCTTCCTCTTAGTTTAGCAGACATTTCTGACACATCATCATCTGAGACTCATTCAATAACATATTACTGAGGTAATATAGTTTTCTATTGTAACACACGGGTTGTAACACACGGTTGCATCCCAAATGGCACCCTATTTCCTACATAGTGCACTGCTTTTGACCACAGCCCTATGGACCCTGGTCAAAAGTAGTGCACTATATAGGGAATAGGGTGTCATTTGGGATGCAGTCAGAGTTATCAGCTGTACCTGTGTGAGTCCAGAAGCCTTGAGGAGCTCCTGAGGAGAGCGGGAGCCGAAATAGAAGAGGTTGGGGGGCCGCAGCCCCAGGATCCTAGAGTACACCATGTTCCTCACCTGGGGGGTCGGGGACAGGTTATAGATGTCTCTTACAGTGGTCCTTTTCAAATCACTTCACATTATCATTACCATTGGTGTCAAATAATGATACAATTCCACATCTTTCACAGGTATTGGGGTCAACACTGTGGTACAAAGACAGTGGAGGCTGGTGCCACCTTTAAAATCGGAGGACGGGCTCGGCTGGAAACGGAATGAATGGAATGGTATCAGACACAAAGACATGGTTTCTTTGTGTTTGATACCAATACATTCCCTCCATTCCAGCCATTACTAGGAGCCGTCCTCCCCTCATTAGCCTTCAAAGACCGCAGGCCCTTGAATTGTATCAGTTAGACTAAAGACACACCTTCTTCTTGAAGTTGATGAAGTAGTGTGACTGGTCGATGAAGAACATCTCCACAGCAGAGCGACGCAGGTTGTATCGTCTCAGGTGCACCTCTCTCAGCTGAGACAGGGGCCGCTTGAAATCAAACCCAATTCCTGGATAGAAGACGTTTGTCAACAACAACTCTTTCAGATTAAATTGTATCATGATGTCAGCAGTGACTGTTCTTTAATGTAACTGGAGAATGATGCACACACAAATACGATCCTCTGGACAGATGAAGCCTAGTCCTGGACTAGAAAGCATGCTGAATGGAGAATCTCCATTGATATAGCTTTACGATCCCAGACTAGGTTTAATCTGTGTCCGGGAAACTGCCCCATAGTGTCCATTGCCAGACGTCTCAGTCCTCACCCTCTTCCGTCTCCTCCTTCTCACTGCTGGCGTCGTAGAAGTAGAGGTGATGTGTGGTGACCTCCAGCCGACCCGGAACCACCGCCACGATGGTGATGAGCTCACAGTCCTCCGACAGAACCAGCTTCTCCTTCTGACTGTCGTCCTCCCCCTCCACCCTGACGAACAGATAGACAAAACATTTGTTGTATCAGATTAATATTCCACCACTAGCATTTCTGATTCAACTAACCAAGGGCATTAATATTCCAGACCTAACATTTCTGATTCAACTAACCAAGGGCATGAATATTCCACCACTAGCATTTCTGATTCAACTAACCAAGGGTATGAATATTCCACCACTAGCATTTCTGATTCAATTAACCAAGGGCTTGCTGATCATTTTACTAGTTGAATCAGGTGCGGAGATTGATATGTGGAGTGGATAGGGGGTGGAGATCAAGTCACTCACTTGTTGTCCAGAAAGACAATGTCCTCTTCTCCTAACTGGTCGTCCTCCATGTCACTCACTTTGGCCTCCTTGGCAACAGCCAATGGGAGGGGTTCTGAACTGCGAGGGCTATCAGCTCCTGATGTGGAGAGAAGCAGACAGACAATACATTTCTACTGAACCTGAACACACTCTCACAAACCTATATTACCTGAGCAGATATTCGTGATGACATTTTTATTTATTTACTTTTTATGATGTTGTGAAGCTTAAAATGCCAAACAAATTTTCCAATCTTAAAATAAAGGTCTTCTAATCTAATGTCATCGAATGTTACCTGAACACAGATTTTAAACACATCTTCAAAACACAGCAGTGCCCTGAGCTAACCTGCACACGAAAACAGAACACCTACCAATTTAAGTTTGGAAACTTGCTTCTGCTCAACGAAAGCAATTTACTGAAATGTTGTAGACATGACTACAACGTCATAACACGGCAAGCACATTAACTCCTAGCATGCGATGTATATTTCTCATCTCATAAGGCATACCCATATTGTCTCTGGAGGCGCTGGCTTCCAGGTGAGTGTCATAGTGGTAGTTGGGCACCAGTTTCAGACGCATCTTAGAATACGTCTCCGCACTGGACAACTTCCATTTCACCTCTAGTGGGACTCTGAGGTAGAAATCACAGTAGATTCTGGTCAGGCACAAAGCACCACAACAAAGCTTACAATGTGACATTAGTGGTTGAGTCCATCCGGTTTAGGGCAAAGCTTCCATTATATGTTGATCTAGGGTCAGTTTTGCACTTTAACCCCTAATGGTTAAAGGAGTTGTTCACTATTTTGCCACATGATGTTAGATGGTTCCTCACCTTGAAAGTAACCTATGAGCCAGGAGAAACTGTAATCCAGGGTTCAGTTTTCTTTAAACAGCCATTACAAACTTAAGCTAACTTTAGCCACCACTAGCTAAAAATCAATGGAAGTGATGTGAGCATGTTTATTTATTTTTGGCCCATGGTCAAAAGTAGTGCACTACCTAGTGAATAGGGTGCCATTTGGGACGCACCCACAGATACAGATACGATAGAGTCAGACCTGTGTGCCCAGGCCCCTCTCTCGCTTGTGAGCAGCCTGCGGAGGGACTTCCAGTGGCGCCACACCACCCCCTGCTGGCCGGAGCTCTGTTTCTGACCACTGTGGTAACGACTGTTTTCACTGCGTACCCGCCTCAGGTACGGGTCCAATATCACCTCCTTTATGAGCACACACAGAGACCCCCCCCCCCCCCCCCCACACACACACACACAGACGCAGACACAGAAATACCTGTAGGTTAGTTACCAATCAGCAATACAAGCACAAACCAAGTTCTACTGGGTTGATAATACACTGCCTCAAAATACCTCTAGATCACCATAATAGAATGAATACAGTAGAACTAGATGCTAAATAAAACAAGTTTCAAGCCACATAATATTGACTTGATATTGATGTCATAATAGAGGTAATTTCATAATGGACAACAGTGGGCTGTACTATGACTTCATAAGAGTTCCACCAAAGAGTCTGTCTGAGGATGACAAATGCTACTAGCATCATTTACCTGGAACTTGTCTTTGCTGTAGGCCCGCTCTTTGTCCCGCTGTATGGCAGTGCTCATCAGGTCATCAAAGCATGAGTTCCAGAAGTTAGACATGAGGTCATGACTCTTGCCAAACGTATCCAGTTCATACTGCTCCATGGTGGGCTGCACCTACACATTACATACACACATTATATACAGTAATGTTATATACCACCTACACATTACATACACACATTATATACAGTAATGTTATATACCACCTACACATTACATACACACATTATATACAGTAATGTTATATACCACCTACACATTACATACACACGTTAATACAGTAATGTTTATATCCACCTACACATTACATACACACATTATATACAGTAATGTTATATACCACCTATACATTACATACACACATTATATACAGTAATGTTATATACCACCTATACATTACATACACACATTATATACAGTAATGTTATATACCACCTACACATTACATACACACATTATATACAGTAATGTTATATACCACCTATACATTATATACAGTAATATTATATACCACCTATACATTATATACAGTAATATTATATACCACCTATACATTATATACAGTAATGTTATATACCACCTATACATATTACATAATATTATATACCACCTATCATTACATACAGTATGTTATATACCACCTACCTTACCTACACACATTATAACAGTATGTTATATCCACCTATACATTATATACAGTAATGTTATATACACCTATACATTATATACAGTAATATTATATACCACCTATACATTATATACAGTAATGTTATATACCACCTATACATTATATACAGTAATATTATATACCACCTATACATTACATACAGTAATGTTATATACCACCTACACATTACATACACACATTATATACAGTAATGTTATATACCACCTACACATTACATACAGTAATGTTATATACCACCTATACATTACATACAGTAATGTTATATACCACCTATACATTATATACAGTAATGTTATCACCACACTACATTACTACACACATTATATACAGTAATGTTATATACCACCTACACATTACATACACACATTATATACAGTAATGTTATATACCACCTATACATTATATATGGACATAATGCTAACATAAGCTGATAAACGGGCACACGCACACGAGCATGCACGAACAGACACACACACACACACACACACAGACACACACAGACACACACAGACACACACAGACCACCAACCACACACCCCACACACACACACACACACACACACACACACACTGTTGCTCAAAGACTGGGAGCATAAGTCAAAACTGGGCTCTACTGCCAGATCTATGACATGCTAATATATTCTGTAATTTCTATATACAAGAGATCTAAACAAAACAGATTTATGATTATACACTGTCACACACATTCATAATAAATCCTCAGCTGAACTAAGGGGGAGACGTCTGTTTGGCTTCATATCATCAAACCTCTTGGTCTGCTAGGCGGCTTCTCTTCCATTACATTCACACGGTAAAGAAAAGGTAAGCATTCAGATTCTGTTCTCATTTCTAAACTGGGAGAGGAGTCACTCTCTTGGGAAAAAAGTCCTGGTCTTCCATCCACGTACCTCCAGTGTGTAGACTAGGAGGTAAATAGTGAGAGGAGGACCAGAGAACACAATGCGGATGACACTGAACAGACAGATTATCTGTCCCTGGTTTAGTTTTCACTCTGAGGCAGAAAGAAGGATGCCTCAGCCGGTCTAGAAATACTAGCCTGAGACAAGAGACAAACAGCAACACCGCATTCAGTAGCAGCACCTACAGAATCCGTTCAGTTTCCTGAACTAAAGAAGAGAAGTGTACAAGCTAATGTTTTTAGCCTGTCCAGGGACGACCAAGGGACTACGGAGGAAAATGAGCTGTCCAGCTAACTACGGCACTGTCTGAGACGTTGATTATAATGCATTGTCCGAGGCCTGTGTGGTCCAGCCGTTACAGCACACATGTATGCCAGAGTCGGCATGGGTTCGAATCCGTCCCACTGCCCTTTGACTCAACCTTCTCCGTCTTTCCAACCAGTTTACTATCTCTTCAATAAAACAAACTCAACAATTAAAGAAAGTAGTGGGACTCACCCACTCCTTAAGAAAATACCATTATTAGTCATTGTCCGTGTGAAATAAATCAGGTCCCAAATAACACCTTATTCTCTTCATACCCCCATAGATGGCTTAGCTGACAACGTCACCAAAACCATGTGCACACTTCAAATGGGGCAGAAGGCCGTGTGATGTTGTGATTCTGGATGGTCCGATGGCTAGCAACAATGACAAGAAGCTGCCATGTGGGGGAATCGTAGGTGGCTCGTTTCAGATAGTTTTATGTTGTTCTTGATACCATGTTTTGTTTTGTTTTGAGGTGTTTTGACTGATGTCACGTCTATGCTAATACAGCTCGAATTCCCTAGCTAGCTAACCAACAACTGTAACGAAGGATTTTAGAAATAAAAAGTGCTCATTGTGCAAATGTATATTCAGCTTCAATAAACGTTGGAGACAAAATATAGTTGTAATATGTTGTCAACAATCTAAGCCAAGCCCGTCTGTTTTGCCCCATAGTTGCGCACTCGTTGGTTTTGTTGCTAAACAACCAACCCGTCTATAAGGCCCTGGTCAAAAGTAGTGCACTGTATAGGGAAATGCCATTTGGGACACAGCCTATATAAACAAGAAGATACATAAATGAAGGTTGAGTAGTACTGACATGGCGTTGGCAGAAGTCCAGCCACTCTACTGTATGGCAGTAGCTCTGGAGGTCCTGGGCGAAGGTGGAGCTGCCGTTGGTGACTGGCAGGCTGGGCAGCAGGCCGTGCAGGGTCACGGGGTCAGCGTGTTGGTCCAGGAGGGTACGCACGATGGGCACCAGCTGAGAAAAGGTCTCTGTGTGCCCTCCGTTGGTGCCCGCCTTTAAAAAAAACAAAAAAACACCTTACTGTTGTACTTGTCTTTCTTACACTGGTCTGAATTTACTAGTGTAAAAGGCCGGTGATAAGAATGGAAACACCAGAATAATGGATGTCAAAATAAAAGTCCCATTAAGTCTCAAATTCCATTATGTTCTTACAATAAAAGGTCTCACACTAGCACTGAATTATCAAATAGCTAAAGGAAAGTTTTAATTGCAATGACTATGTTATGTGGTTGTCTTACCTAGCTTAGTTGAATGCACTGATTTTAAGCCGCTCTGGATAAAGGTGGTATGCTAAATGACCAAAATGTAAAACATAAATGTACCTCCATTACCCCGCCGGGCCACAGGGGGGCACCGAGTCGCCCCAGCAGGAAGCACACCTCATCCCAGCCCAGAGACAGAACTGTCTGCAGGAGGCTGTGGAGTTTAACGCAGGCCATTACAGACACCTGGGGAGATAGGGAGAGGGGGGAGAGAGAGAGGGAGAGAGAGAGAGAGAGAGAGAGAGGGAGAGGAAGGAAGGAAGGAAGGAGAGAGAGAGAGAGAGAGAGAGGACAGAGAGCGAGCGAGCGAGCGAGCGAGAGAGAGAGAGAGAGAGAGGAAGGAAGGAAGGAGAGAGAGGACAGAGAGTGAGCGAGCGAGAGAGAGAGAGCATGAGAGATAGAGAGAGAGGGAGAGAGAGAGAGAGAGAGGAAGAAAGGAAGGAGAGAGAGGAAGGAGAGAGAGTGAGCGAGCGAGCGAGCGAGCGAGAGAGAGAGAGAGAGAGCGTGAGAGAGAGAGAGAGAGAGAGAGAAATTCTTTGGTCAAAAAGCAAATTATGCTCCACTTCAAAAGTACTCTCATAGGTCTTAAATTCAACAGAAGTCCCAGTAAATGTTTCATCAGTACACAAACCTAATAGTATTATTCCTCAGCTGATTGATTTTTGAAGTGGTGTACTGGAGTAATACTAACAAAAACACACAACAGCAATTCAAGTTTTTTCCTCAAAAAAATATATTTTTAATCCCAGCGCTTAAAAGGAACACTTTGGACCATTTATTTATGACCACTTGATCCCACACTCCTACAGTAGGTCCGGAGTGCCAAATGGCACCCTATTTCCTACATAGTGCACAACCTTTGGCCAGAAAGTAGTGCACTAGGTAGGGAATAGGGTACCATTTGGGACGCAGCTCAGCAGTAGTTATAACTCAGAGAGGAGCTGCCCCATCATACACAACACTCCCTGGGAGGAATGCTAGCTATGTCTCTGTGCACTGATAGATAACCATAGAAGGACTGGTATTGTAAATACGCTTTCCCTCAAAAGGTCTATCAAACCTAACCTTTATTTGATAGTAAATGTGTACTGACAGACAGAGCATTGGGATTGGTCCCACAACATTTGGAGTTTAAAGTTTCAAACCCACGCTTTGACTAATGCCCTCAATGGATGTAGTTTGGAGAAAGAACTTGAGTCCCAAATGGCTCTACTCCACCCCCTATTCCAGCCTATGGGCCCTGGTCAAACCTAGTACACTATATAGGGAATATGGTGCCATTTGGGATGCAGTCCAGAGTTTGAGACAGTCCAGTTTGGTTAGAGGGAGGTGGGCGTAGCGTAACATAGGTGACTGACCTGTGAGTCCTGTTGCTGGATGTAGCCGGTGATGATGCGCAGGCCGATCTGAGCCATCTCTCTGAGTTCCACAACCCCGGGGGTAACAGGGGTGCTGTGCCAGGCCTGTAGTCGGTCCAGCAGATTCACCACCCCCTCAAAGATCTACAACGACAACACACCTGTGAACAATCTACAATACATTTGAATTCAATTCAATTCCCACAAGGGGCAATGATGTAGGCATGAGTGAAGATACGTGGAAAAAACAAATAACAATGAACATAGATGATAACTCAACTGTCAAGACCTGTTACCACACGGTTAATGATATAGCTAGAACATCCTTCAAAACAGTAACCAAGCTAAAGCAAACATGCAAGACAAGACACATCCACTGACATTAAACACACATACCTTCACAATAACAGGAAGTAGCTGTACCATTAATACATGTAACTGCATGTAATCTAAAATGTAATCTACGTAATCCCCGAAAATGTATTATTTATCATGAGAGGACCATAAACAACAACTAGTAATGCTGCATACTCCAAGAAAGGTTAAAATCTCACCTTTCTGGTAAAAATAGTTATACATTGCTGAGGTGTAGTCACTTTCGAGGACACAAGCTCAAGTACACAGTACAAATATGATACAAATATGAAAATATGAAAAGCTTATGACGCATTTCTTATTCAACAGAACTGTATGAATAAGGCTTGAAATTACATATATGCTTTCTAAATATAGTATAATCAGATTATAAAACCACTAACTATAAGATTTCACCTTCCTTACAACTGTAAAATACACATATTTGTATTTTTAGTGTTACAGAAAATGTGCATATTGTCTAAAGGTCTCTCTTGATCAAAACATCTGCCCCCATCGCTGTGAACGACAAACAGAGCTTTAGCTTGGCTTCCTGAACTCGTTAGGAACTCGCTTTTCGTCTCATATTAATATTGTCCATGTTCCCGGAGAGCTACCCTCCTGATTAAATGGTAGGAGGGACATCCCAGCTTCAAGTGGTTTCAGATTTCACATCCTACGTTACACAGGCGCAAAAAATATACTACTGTGTTCGTGGGAACCAGGGCTAATGCTCAATGCAAGCCATTTCGATCTACGGTGTCCACAGATGGATTTCTAAGTGAAAATGTCAGTCGGAACCGGTACCAGAAACACGCAGGTCCCCTAAACAGGAGACTTTACATCTAAGAGTTGAGCATTCATTTCCTGCAATCAAGTGCAGACATCCTCAACCTATGGTTTATATAGTGGACAGTTTGCACTGACAAACTCTCATCTCAGTGGCACATACTCATATCCATAGTCTCTCTTTCTCAGGTGTTGGGTAGAAAGGTCAACCCTATGCAAAAGGATACCACCAGATCACAGATTTTACACTCCCAAATAATTGTGCATGGTTGATATTGTCTGCATCCAAAATGGCACCCTATTCCCTACATAGTGCACTACTTTTGACCAGAGCGCTATGGGTCCTGGTCAAAAGTAGTGCATTACATAGAAATATGGTGCCATTTGAGATGCAGACAACGTTTGGACCATGGTGCAGTACTGTACCTTCTCGCTCCACAGTGCCTGGTTGTCTGTTCCCTCTGAGAAGAGGAAGTCCTGGAGCAGCCTGAGGAGGCGGAGCAGACTGGGGAAGAATGGCAGAAACACACCCTGGGAGTCCCTCAGGTCTGACAGAGAAGACTCCAGCATCATCTCTAACAGACTGAGAGACAAAAAGACAGTTAACATTTAGGGCTACATTTTCCTCACCCAAAACAGCAAAATAGTTAAGTTAAGTTTTTTCACTTTCCTCAAGTCTTTCTGTAGCTGATGTGTGTAAGACCTTTAAACAGGTTAACATTCACAAGGCCGCAGGGTCAGACGGATTACCAGGACACATACTCAGAGCCTGCTGACCAGCTGGCAACTGTCTTCACTGACATGTTCAACCTCTCCCTGACCCATTCTGTAATACCTACATGTTTGAAGCAGACCACCATAGTCCTTGTGCCCAAGAACGCCAAGGTGAACACCGGTCTACATGACTATCGCCCCGTAGCACTCACATCTGTAGACATGAAATGCTTTGAAAGGCTGGTCATGGCTCACATCATCCCAGACACCCTGGACCCACTCCAATTCGCATACTGCCCCAACAGATCCACAGATGATGCAATCTCTATTGCACTCCACACTGCCCACTCCCACCTGGACAAGAGGAACACCTATGTGAGAATGCTGTTCATTGACTACAGCTCAGCGTTCAACACCATAGTGCCCTCGAAGCTCATCACTAAGCTAAGGACCCTGGGACTGAACACCTCCCTCTGCAACTGGATCCTGGACTTCTTGACGGGCCGCCCCCAGGTGGTGAGGGTAGGCAACAACACATCTACCACACTGACCCTCAACACAGGGGCCCTTCAGGTACTGTACTCCCCTCCTGTACTCCCTGTTCACCCAAGACTGCGTGTCCGCGCACGACTCAAACACCATCATTACGTTTTCTGACGACACGACGATGGTAGGCCTGATCACCGACGACGATGAGACAGCCTATAGGGAGGCGGTCAGAGACCTGGCAGTGTGGTATCAGGACAACAAAATCTCCCTCAACGTCAGCAACACAAAGGAGCTGATCGTTGACTACAGGAAACAGAGGGCCGAGCACACCCCCATTCAAATCGACGGGGCTGTAGTGGAGCGGGTCAAGAGCTTCAAGTTCCTTGGTGTCCACATCACTAAGGAATTAACATGGTCCACACACACCAACACAGTCATGAAGAAAGAACGACAACGCCTCTTCCCCCTCAGGAGGCTGAAAAGATTTGGCATAGGCCCTCAGATCCTCAAAAAGCTCTACAGCTACACCATTGAGAGCATCCTGACTGGCTGCATCTGACCGCAAGGCGCTACAGAGGGTAGTGCCTACGGCCCAGTACATCACTGGGGCCGAGCTTCCTGCCATCCAGGACCTCTATACCAGGCGGTGTCACAGGAAGGCCCTAGAAATTGTCAAAGACTCCAGCCACCCAAGTCACAGACTGTTCTCTCTGCTATCGCACAGCAAGCGGTACCAATGCACCAACAGCACCCTGAAAAGCTTCTACCCGCAAGCCATAAGACTGCTAAATAGTTAACCAAATAGCTACCCGGACTATCTGCATTGACCCTTTTTGCACTAACTCTTTTAACTCATCACATACGCTGCTGCTACTGTTTATTATCTATCCTGTTGCCTAGTCACTTTAACCTATATGAACATAGCTACCTCAATGTCCTCGTACCCCTGCACATGGACTCGGTACTGGTACCCCGTGTATATAGCCTAGTTATCATTACTGTGTATTTATTCCTCTTATTATTATTTATCTCTCTGCACTGTTGAGAAGGGCCTGTCAGTCAGCATTTTACTGTTAGGCTACACCTGTTGTTTACCAAGCAAGTGACAAATACAATTGGATTTGAAGTCACCTTAATGAATCTGTATACTGACATAAGACAGAGGGAGTTGCATATCAATGACAGTGGGAGTGACTGACTGGCTGGCTGGGTGGCTAACTGACTGGCTTGACTGACTGACTGACTAACTGAATAGCTAGCTGACTGGCTGACTGACTGACTGACTGACTGACTGACTGACTGACTGACTTGCTGACTGACTGGCTAACTAACTGAATAGCTGACTGGCTGGCTGGCTGGCTGGCTGTCGACCGACTGACTGACTGACTGACTGACTGACTGACTGACTGGCTGACTGGCTGGCTGACTGGCTGGCTGACTGGCTGGCTGGCTGACTAACTGAATAGCTGACTGGCTGGCTGTCGACCGACTGACTGACTGACTGGCTGACCTGCATTTGATATCGTCAGGCGGGCGGACCAGTTGGCAGGAGGAGCCCAGCTTGGTGAGGACAGAGAAGACCTGTCCCCTCTCCCTCCACACGGCGTCCCCCCCCCCCTCCGCCCCACTGCCTCTCCACAGCACAGAGAACACGATGTTAGTCAGCAGGTTACACAGCTCCTCCTCTGGTGTCTGCTGAAAGGATGACATATACATCATAATCACAGTTAGACACACACACACATCATAATCACAGTTACACACACATCACACTCCCCACAGACACACAAAATTGCCCCCAACCTCATAACCACAGTTACAAAACAAACACACCCCACACCCCAACCCCACACCCCACACCCCACAAACACCCCAAAACAAAATCATAATCCCCATTTAAAGGGAACACAAACACCCCACCCCTCTAATCCCCGTTAGCCCAACAAATCAAAATAACATTTTAAGACACACCCCAACACACCCAAAAAATCAAGTTCCACACACCCCAAAAAAATAATCCCATTTCCCAACAAAACCAACACCCCAAAATCACAGTTAGAAACCCCCCACCCCAACACACCACCACCACCCATCAAAATTTACGGGTTAGACAAAACACACACCAACTCATAATCAAAGTTTGCCCACAACACACACAAACACAACCACATACATCATGATCAATTTTAACACAAAAAAAACACACCCTAATCCGGGTTAGACCCCACACTTCCCACACACACATCATAATCAAAGTTAGACACACACCCACAAATTTAATCACAGTTAGCCACACAAGGCAAAACACATCATAACAAGTTACACACACACAAACACCCACACACCCCAACACCCAAAAAACCCACAACACACCCCACACACACACACCACCACAACACAAAACCCCACATCATAATCCCCGTTAAGAAAACCCCACACACCCCAAACAAACCCCCCCATAATAATCACAGTTAAAACACACCATCATAATCACTTTAAAGGGACACCCCCACACACACACACTTTAAAACCCCGTTCACACACACACACACATCATAATCCCGTTACACACACAAACCCCCCCTAATCCCCAGTTGACACACACAAACACACACACATCATAATCACAGTTAAAACACACACCCCCACCCCACATATAATACATTTTGGGGACACCCCCACACACAAAAAAAACATATGATAACATTTTTAGAAAACACCCCGTTTCAAACCACGGGTTAGACCCCACAGTTACAGTACATTGGGTCGGAAAAAAGGGGACTTAAACCACGTAACACAGCCTTTTCTGGATATTGGATGTAGGTTTTTCTTTAGTTTTCAAATTTCTCATAAGGGTTTCACCCCTCATCACTTTTCAGTTGAATGGGGAGCCATTTTACGCTGAGCCACGTTGGTTGAATAGGAGCCATGTACACTGATCCACATTGGTAGAATAGGAGCCATGTACACTGAGCCACGTTGGTTGAATAGGAGCCATGTACACTGAGCCACGTTGGTTGACTAGGAGCCATGTACACTGAGCCACTTTGGGTTTTGATGGGAAAGAAATTTTAACACTGACCCATGCGGGTTTAAAATAGGAGCCATGTACACTGAGCCACGTTGGTAGAATAGGAGCCATGTACACGGGACCCAAACGTTGGTAAATAGGGCCATGTGGTTTGGGAGAGTTTGGGATGCTTTTGGGGGGGCCCTGTGCGCCCCTGCAGAGGGGGGGTCCACAGAGTCTGCCGGGACTATAAAGGGTTGCGGTGGGACTCTGAAATATGTTTTAAAGGTGCAATACTTGGGTTTTTCTGAGGGAACACTTTCCCCCAAAAAAAGGGTTTTAGCATTATAAATATGGGACACTTCCCAAAACACAGGTCTTGACTTCATATTCGGCACATTTGGTGCAGTTTATCCAAAAATACCCCAAAATACCCCCTGGGAATGCCGTACCTTTTGGGTTGGGGTTTAAAAGGTTAGGGGGGGCGGGGCGGAAAAGCGAAACTGTGGGTTGGAGGTTGGAGATGGTTTTTCAGTGCCGGGGGGGTCATTTTTCCTATTTGGGTGTCGCCCAGCACGTTGGCCCAAAGGAAGGAGTCTTCCGGGGTTAAGAGGGGGGGGGAACGGCGGCTGTGCCCCAAGGGGGGAGGGGGTTCTGCCTAAACCCCCCCGCAGGGGTGTGGTTCCCTGTCCCCGTCTCGCCCCTCATACCCCCCAGCTCCAGCTCAAAGGGCGAGGTGCCGAATGGGGACAGAGGGTGGTAGGGGGCCTCCCCTTTGGGAAAACCGAGGGGGGGATGCCCACGGTGTTGGGAAAAAGGAGGGCGGCAAAAAGTCCTTAAAACGTGTCAAACGATTCCCTTTGGAAAGAGGGGTCGGAAAAAGGCCCTTTTAAACGTGCCCCCACTGTGTTGGGGGAAGGGACTGAGAGAGGTCGGAAAAAAACCCTTGAGTATTCCTCCCCCCCGGGGCCCCTCGCCATTCCCCCCTCTCTTCCTCCCCCCGGGGGGTGAAAGGGGGGGAAAAAGTCTGTCGAGGTCCGGGGAGTCTTCTATGACCATGTTGTGGTCTCTCCTGAGAGGGAGGAGTTAAACCTTTTATAGAATTTTGTTGTGTGCGAAAACATGTTAATGATTTATAGCAGGGGTAAAAGCTAAAACAAATTTTAAAATGATCTATAGGAGGGGGTTAAAGAGGAAAAATTTTTTAAACTGTTCTCTAGGATGGGGTAAAGAGTGAACCATTTTAACTAAATTTTTACCCAGGGGTTTAAAGAGTGAACACTTTTTAACTGATTATAGGAGGGGGGAAAAAGAGCTGAACACTTTTTAATGTTTCTATAACGGGGGTTAAAGAGTGAACACTTTTAAACCCTGACTAAACAGGGGAAAAGAGTAAAAACACATTTAACTGTTTTAAAGCAGAGGGGTTAAAAAACCCTGAACACATTTAACGATTATAGAAAGGGGTTAAAGAGTGAACAATTTTTAACTGATATATAGCAGGGGTTAAAAGGGGTAACCCCTGTTAACGGGATCTATAGCAGAGGAAAAAGAGTAACACATTTTAAACTGATATATAGCAGAGGTTATAAAGAGCTAAACCCACATTTTAAAGGGGAAATAAGCAGGGGTGGAAAAGAGCTGAAACATGTTAACTGATAATAGCAGAGGTAAAGGTGAAAACAGGGTTAAATAAATCTATAGGATGGGTTAAAGAGCTGAATTAGTTAATTTATTTTTTAAAAAGGGGTAAAGAGCTGGAACATTTTAATAAATTATGGGATGGGTAAAAGGCTGGAAACATGTTAAAAAATATAGCAGGGGTTAAAGGGGAAAACACATTTTAAAACTGATCTTTACCCGAGGTAAAGAGTGTACACATTTTTAATGATCTAAAAGCAGAGGAAAAGGGAGCTGAACCCCTTGTTAACTGATCTATAGGATGGGTAAAGAGCTGAACACATGTTAACTGATTATAGAAAGGGGGTAAAAGAGTGATCACATGTTAACTGATATATAGCAGAGGTAAAGAGCTGAACACATGTTAACTGATCTATAGGATGGGTAAAGAGTAAACACATTTTAAAACGATATATAGCAGAGGTAAAGAGCTGAACACATGTTAACTGATCTATAGGATGGGTAAAAGAGCGGGAACACTTTTAAAACCGTATTTTACAGAGGTAAAAAAGCTAAACACTTGTTCCCCTGATATAAGCAGAGGTAAAAAAGGTACACATGTTAACTGATTATCCCCCCCAAAAGGAAAAAAGGTGAACACGGTTAACTAAATCATAGCAGGGGAAAAGGGAGCGAAAACATTTTAAAACTGATTTCAAGAGAGGAAAAGAGTGATCAATGTTAAGGATTTTACGAGGAAAGAGTTGGAACACATTTTTTAATTGATCTTTTAGGAGGGGTTTTAAAGAGCGGGAACACATTTTTTAACTGTTTATATAGCAGAGGGAAAAGAGTAAAAACACATGTTAATAATCTATAGCGGGGGTTTAAAAGCTAAAACACAGGTTAACTGTTTTATGAAGGGGGGTTAAAGAGCTAAAACCACATTTTTAAAGATATATAAGAGGAAAAGAGCTAAACACATGTAATGACTTAGCAGGGGTAAAAAAGGAACCCAAAAAAAAAAATATTGTTTATTTCAACTCTGTCCAGAAATTTAAAATATCACTTAAGTTTGTTATTATTGATTCCCAACTTTTCGAATCGATACAGATTCCCTCAATCGACTAATGGAACTCATCCCTACCTGAGAGGGGGGCGGGAGGAGGAGGAGGGGTCCAGGGAGCTGTGGGTGCTGGAGCTGGCCAGGGAGGCACCACGGGACTTTTGGACTCTTTTTAGAGTTTAAAGTTAACATCCCCTGCCAGCTGGCGGAGGGGGCCAGTGAAAAACCACAGCCCTCATTTTGTAGATCAGGTTGAAGAGCTGGGAGAGGGAGAGAAGAGAGGAGCAAGAGAGAGAGGAGCGGGGAGAGAGGGGAAAGAGAGAGAGAGAGGGGAGAGAGAGAGAGAGAAAAAAAAAGGGCCAACAATCAAGCCTTTATTCCCCAAATAGTCTAAACCTTACTGCCCAATACCCCTACCCCTTTATCTCCCCCAAACCCTACCCCTTTATTCCCCAATGCAATCCCTTTAGGCCCAATAGTTTATCCCTTTTACCCTACCAATGCATATCCTTTTATCTGCCCAAAGTCTATCCCTTTAAATTTGCCCAATAGTCAAACCCCTTTTTTTGCCCAATAGCCTATCCCTTTTAGCTTAAAATTTTTACAAAAATTAGAAATTTGACCGGAGTGAATGTGAAGATGTACAGCAGAGGGGAAACAGGACAGCGGAGAGGAAAGAGGACAGCGGAGGGGAAAAAAAGGGACAGCGGAGGGAAAAAGGGGAAATAGTTTTTAGGTGGGGGGACGGGACCTTGGGGACAACGTCCAGAGGACAGGAGCTCAGAAAGGGGGGGAAACAGTTTAAGACCACACCCAGCAGGTCTTAAATTTGGGGAAATTTTGGCATCTGGGGACAAAACAATGAGTTTAAGCGGGGCCCACATTTAAAGATATCCCCTATGGGAATTTTAC